TTGTCAAAGAGTAAGCTATGTTAAGAATGATATAGAAATAAAGGAATAGTGCTTAGAAGCAGGTTATTCCGGGAGAAAGACGCTTGGAAATATATCGGGAAAAATTAATTTCCGACCTCGCTTGGATAAGAACCCACGACCCAGAATGGTTGTATATCCTGCACAACATCAAAAACGAAACACTTTGACACTTTCCTAGGCTTAGAATGACGTTTTTTAAAGTTAACTTTTCAAGGAATCAGACGGCAATCTAGCTTTTCGTTCTTGTCCACTTTACCCAAGGAATAGGCCCGGGGGGGGACTCCCTAATATCAAAGGGCGGGGGTCCTCGGCGGAGATTGTGAAAATGACCCCTAAAAGGGACCTCTATTGTGAGATGATGGGCGTGGCAGTGCTGAAATTTCAACCCTAAAAGGGACCAATCAATAACAGGTCATTTTTGTTTTGGTTTACCGATTTTATTTGTGTTTTTACACAATCATCGAACACCGTCGGCTCGTATTGAGTTTATGACGACGTTGCCATTTTATGACTGCTTAGGGTCGCCGTATACCCTAAAAGGGACCACAAAACACAGTCATGGTAGGAATTCTTGTCAAGATCACCCTAAGCGGGACCAAAATACTGATTTCAAACCCTAAAAGGGACGCCGAGGACCCCCGCCCTTTGATATTAGGGAGTCCCCCCCCCCGGGGGAATAGGTAACCTTTCCCCCAGCGTAACATTCTAGTTACCAAAGTAAATTAGTTCGATTGAAACAAAATAAATAAGTTTATTCAAAATAAACATCTATTACCTATTTACAATTCTAACGTTTCACGTCATTATTTAATTCTACGAATGGCTAACTTTGTATTACCAGCGAACTTCCTTCCCCCCTCCCCAAAGTACATTATGTACAGCGGATGGAAGAGAGATGCTACATATGACTTATGCCTACACATTCAATGACAACTGGACTTCAATGATGATAAAAGTACTAAAATGAAGACAAAAAACCCGTGAAATGGATATTACAATAAGACGCCTTAGTATGCTCTAACTGCATTGTTTTCTTTTGTGTATATTTGACTATTACACTTTGTCAAGTCAAGTCAAGTCAAGTCAAGCTTTGTTTCACGGGTTTAGAGTCATTTTCACCCGTCTGTGAAATAATTAACAATTAGACCTCGAGGTCGAGTGGACTACGAGCTAATAGCCCATGAGGCCGAGTCCGCGAGGCCTCATGGGCTATTAGCTCGTAGTCCACGAGGCCGAGAGATCTAATTGTTTTAGTATAAACATACTAATCGGTCAAATAATGAAAACAAATTGAAAAATCCTTAAAATAATTTACAATTTATTTATTTTGATTTTCCCGCGAGTGGTCTATCACAAATTAGACCATTAGTAGAGTAGCCAATCACTGCGCAGTATGAGTGATAGACCATTAGTATGTTTATACTAATTACTATTAGTCAGTGTTTAATAGTAACTATTAGGGTGTAGTAGGCTACCAAAAGGCAAAATCAAAACCGTGTTTGCCTGATTAGTTTGTCACATGTCATAAACTATTGGGAGCTAATAGGGGGTAATAGTATGTAATAGTACAATTCCTATTTCACAGACGGATGAAAATGACTCTAATGACGTAACTCTAATACTGGCGGAAAACAAAAGGAAACTCGTGCAAGCAACCGTGAAAGAACTTAAGAATAAGAAATTAAGAATAATAGTTTATAATAATACATTGTTTAGGCAATAGGAGAAAATGAATTAATATAATTCAACACGTATATTTTATAATTTGCACCTGATAAAAATTTTAGGCTGACATTGAAGTTACTGTGTAAATCGATAATCTGATAAGATTCAAAGAATTCATTTAAACTCTTGCTTTATTCCTCGAAAGGAGTTTAAAACTATTCAATAAAATGTCCGTAATACTGAGCTATAGCCTTTATAGTACCATACGAGTGGATGTTGACTATTAATTTGACGAAGTCAGCCTTTCACATTAAAGATGAATTTAAAAACTCTAAAAAGAAATCGAGATAAGGTAATCGATGTGAACAAATTCGGACAACTAGTCATAATTGCCACCTGATCTCATTTAATCTACCAATTTGCTTTAAAACTAGCAAATGGTAAAGTTGACCCTAAAGAGAGCCCTCCCCAATCCCCTTAAATAGACATGGTCCACCAGCATCCCATTTCGAGCTTTTGCTCATGTTGTACATACATCGTAATATGAGCAAAAACTTTCTCTTTATTATCCCTTTATAAATGGAGATACTGTAAGATTCGACCTTTAAGACCGATGGATTGAAATGGATTGCGAATGGATATTTGAAGTCACTCCTCACTTTCCATATATGAAAAATCTAAAACATGACGACCGCACTGAATGCTGGTGGACCACATCCATTCGTACAGGCATCATGAAATATTGATATAAAAGACGTTTATTATTTACAATGTTATTCCAACCTTTTCTCGCTTTTTGCCGTGTAAGTAATCATCTATCACAAGTTCTTATCAAGAACGTAAATACCGGGGCATATTTACAATGTAAATAGTGTATCTGAGTTATTTTTCAGTATGTTGCATACTAACCGGCTTTTTAATATGAACTCGTGCTATTTCTACGTGTTTTTGGGCCTCTTTGTTTCTTCCCAAGGATTTCAACACATCAGCTATTTCCGAGTGAGTTTGTGCCGTTTCTTTAGATGTGAATGCCAGATGCTGACGCACTTCAAGTGCTTYATTTAGATATGAAAGCGCTTCTTCATATCTCTTGTGTTTGTCTTCTAGACTATCACAGTGGCMCGCTGCAAGAATGAAAGATAATCATCTTCACCATACTTGAGTTTAATTCACGCGTTTGAATGACTGCAATCCCGTACAAAGCCCGTTAAGATACTATTTTTTCGCTTCAAAATATCCCCCTTTCTCATCTCTCTAAAAAATCACTAATTTGATCCTCCCCTCCCCCATAAAACAATGTTGTGTGTGTGACGTGATGCTAGAAGGGTGTGCGTGAATGTTCAGTTTTTCAACATTGATTTCAGGGGCGGCGTAGAAGTCCGCATGACRAAAAACTGCTGACAGGGTATCATGTAGATATTAATGTAGTAGACCACGGTCATTTTCAATGATAAAGCCCGGTAAAGATTTTTTCGCTGTCTTTTTACTCTTTTCTTCTTTTTCTTTTATAATCCATATAGGAACCACTGGAAAAAATCGCGCGCTTTAAAGGTTGTAAATTTGATGTAAAAAACCCTCAAAGCATGCTCTTTCCTAGGAAAAAAAGCCTGATCTATGCTTCAAAGTACTCTTTGCGGTTGCATTTTCAAAWCTTACCTTGTTCGCGTAAGATACGACCCATATCAAACAAAGAACGAGCAGTTTCAGAGTGTTGGCCCAACAATCGTTTTCTGTAGGACAAAGCTTTTTCACACGCTTTGAGGGCTTCGTCATGCACATCCAGAGTGAGGTAGTCGTGGGCTAAATGGCTGAGAGCACTGGCTGTGAAGGGATGGCAGCCAAGATACTTTTCATAAACAGGTAGAACTTTGGTTTGCCTTATKTGAATAGCTGTTCCATTGGAATCATTGTTGTAACTGTAGGCACCTATGAAAAAGATGGTGAAAAGATGGTCAAACCAGCTACTAAAAGAATCTGGAAGAGATTATACTCTAAGCCGATACTCTAAACTAGTCTGTCCTAGATTGCTTAGACCTGAGTGTATCAACGTGGGCCATAAATTCGAAATAGGTTTGGAAGACTTACTTGCAAGATCGTTGTAAGCCACCGCCACCATAACGCGATCTTTCGTGGATTTTGAATCCTTGAACACTTTCTCGCGTATTTCAATCCCCTTTTTGACGAATTTTAATCCCTCGTCCATTCGGCCATGTCGAACCAAACACTTGCCATACTTAAGAAGGAACTGAGTTTGCGCTCCCTTGGTCATGATCTTGCATTTCGACAAATAATCGAGTTGTTGACTTAAATTTGGAATCACAGAAGACCGGCTGGTACATAATTCCTTCAAGACTTTATTAAAGCACCACATTGCTTGCTCAAGAGCAACTGGACATAGCTGGGGTACACAGAGACAACCCAAAATACATGTAACTCCGCCATAAGTCAGACATTCGACGTATCCYTTTTCTGAACCGTTTTTGGGACTTTTCKTCTTTGTGCCATCGTCTCTYCCTTTGTGTCTTAGACAAAACCGTGAAAACCTACACAGGATTGTCTTTAACAAATAGGGCTCCATCATYTTGATGTTGACCAAGTAACACTGAATAAAAGAACCAATGATGTAGTACCTGAGGCGCTTCATGTCTGTGTCTTTCGAGAGTCTATCGGAGATGCACCAATKYGCTATTTCTTTCAGATTTGCCTCTTGTTTTCTGTATTTCTGRATRGCAWTTGCACTGTCGATACTGAAGAAATTGTTTTCAATCTTTAAGGTGCTGTCAAATGTGTAATACACAAATCTTGAGATGGCACCCTTGTACGTAAGACTCAAATYGGATTYATTGGTATCAGTTTCARAAGAGGTTGGTGGTTCTTGTGTTACTTTATAGATCACAAACGATCTCATGGCAGGGCTCAAATAATACGCATTTCGCTCTTGGTTGTAAGACAGGAAGCTGAAATTTATCAAATCAGTTAACCCATCCTGAAGTTCCTCCTTGTTCGAAATGAGGCTCATGAAGATCGTTGCAGCCTCGTCAAGTGTGAAGAAGCCTGGTAGCACTGAAACCACCATGAGAACCTTTCGTGAAGTTTCTTGAAGGCGATCAAAGCAAACATTAACACAAGGATGAAATCGTTGTTTTGGGCTCATATCACTCCGACAGACTGATGTTAATTTGCGCTCGGGTGGACTAGAGGCAAAARTATCGTCTACAATTGTTTTGACTATGACTGCAGCGTTGCAAATGAGTTGCGGGATATTGCTACARAATTCTAAGATATCTCTTAATTGATCTCTTGAGATACTAGATCTTTCTATTCCATGTACTGACTCGCAYCTMCTTAAAAGAAGCTCTTCTGACTCGGACGGAGTTAGTGGTGGCAGTTCAACTTCTTTGGCGTTAGCAACGAAGAAAGACTCCCATGTTGTGGCAAGAATTGTCCAGGTTGAGGCATATTTCAATAAATCT